TTGGAGCAAGCCATGTTGTCACCTCTTCTCTGGTTAGCTCACTGCATTGGTCGCGCAGAGTAAATAAACGATTTGATTGGCTCAACACTGTTACCATAATAACTGTAGGAGACGTAACCTCTAAACCTCCTAACTGCGTCTCTGCTTGGCTTTCGCTGGGAAAAAATGCTCCATGAATATTATATAATTTTGTGAATTTATCAGATAGGGCACAGGTCCGGACTCTGGATTCGGACCTAAGTCCGCCATTTGGTGATGCCCTCTCTAGGCTAATAGCTTAAAAACCTTTACAATGTTTCAGTGTAAAAACTGAGCAGACTGAATGTTTAGTATATCTGTGAAACAGGAATATATCAGTGCACAAAGAAAAAGTAATATTAAAACAGTGTCCACCACTCTAAAGTGAAAAAGCTTTACATTATTATTATTCTTAAACATTTAATGTTGAAATTGCTGTAAGCATTTTTGATTTTGTTTATTCCCCAAATAGTGTTTTAATCATAAAACATGGAGTAGAAATAGATGACAAAAATATGTTTTGGAAAAAATTGTCTGAAAATTTTTTTTCAGAAATGGCTCTTAAAAAAAGGCACTTGGTGATAGAAAATGTACCATAATGAATAAATTGTTGTTTTAATGTTTTTTTTATATAAATTGTATTCATTAAAAGACCTGTTGCATTTATGGTAAATTGCTTGTGAAATAAAAGAACTCCAGAATCAGGAAGTTAATTCAAGCTTCTTCATTTTGTGATCTGTAAAAGTCAGCACAGAGGAGGATCTGAACACGTGTTGTACCTTTGTAATAACTAWTATGTGGAGAAGAGCAGGTGCTGAGTCACCCTTACACAGAAAGCATAAACTCAGGTGTGTGGAGGCACAAGGRTCATAAAACCTGGTCTTTTTATGGCACTAATGGCTGCACCTGCCSATGTTAATCCTCAAAACTAATTCATAAGCCTTTTATTGTTAATAAATATTCAATATTTYTACATTTATGAGTCACGTAATGCACGGGACCTTCAAAATGATCATTTATTAACCTGTTAGTTCCTTTTTTGTAACTTCCCTCAAGTAGCCAGCTGTTGATTCAGCTGGATCTCTGTTCAAAGGTTGTTTCCAGCTGACCTTCGTTTTGTCAAGAACTCATTGTACTTATTTTACAGTCGGCTGCAGGTAAGTGTTCTCAAATGGAAATGTCTTTTTTTAAACTCTGATCTGTACTACACATATTAAATTGAAGAGATATAATAACAATCCTTTGTCCTAATTATCTGTTTTCATGYATTCATCTCATTAAGATTCTGTATTGTATGTGTACTGATTTATCTGGTGTATCCTATCTTTAATTTGGTCATCTGTAGTCATTTAAAYCAACATATGCAACAGAAACACAGAGAATGTGGTATAAATGTGTTTGACTTCTGTGAAAAGTGTTTATGCATTMTTTTGCTTATAATAAATTGCTTTTGTTGATTTTTGTCAAACCCAACAGATTACAGTCATATGAAAAAGTTTGGGTGCCCTTGTTAATTTTCTTGATTTATCTTTATAAATCATTGATTGTTTGGAGTAAAAATATCATTTAAATATATCGTATAGGGGACAAACAC